GTTCACTTGAAAACTAGTGTCAAGATACTTGCAAACGAATGGGTTCTGATGAAAGTAAAATTTCCAACGAAAACCAGCTCAATTATCAATAGTTTGGCTATACTTCAGAAGGCTTACTTGTGTATATATCAATATCAAGAAACAAAAACTCAACGAAAGCTTATAAATTATAAAGGGAAAAAGTCCTAACCTCAAATCGACAGCTTCGGCCTGCACGGTCTTTTCAACCTCATCAACACTTGAATCGGCAGCCAGCAACTGATCCCTTCGGAGCCACTGCGGCTGCTGACTGTTCTGAAATGTATGGTGATTCTGATTATTCGGGACTGAACTCCTTTGCACGTACTGTTGTGTAGGGTTTCAACCGACTTTTAAGCATGGCCTCAACGGCTGCATTACCCCAACGCCACGGCCGCCGCCTCCACCCATACCTGGCGGCGGGTGTCTCGCCCTCGAATACATCACAAAATTCTCAACCAGGAAGTTAGACAAGAACAAAAAAAACACCCAATCTGTAAAACTGAAGTTTGGCTCAAAAAGAGAGACTGAAAGTGCTAGATTTTCGAATTAGGGCTATGTTTTGGTACACTCGTTTTTTTCATTCTCATACTTCTCGTCATTTTCAACCGCACATTATTCAATAAAATAATATTTTCCATCACATCAATAACTTTTCCTTATTCTTTTTTTTCATTCTCATTCTTCTGGTCATTTTCAACCACACATTATTCAATAAAATAATATTTTCCATCACATCAATAACTTTTCCTTCGTTTTTAAGCACACATTCTCAATCAATCTACTATTCAATAATACATTCTTTCAAAAGAATGTGACACAAACACACTTTAGAAATGTTCTCAAGGAAAAGAAAAATGGGTGAAATTCACCAATAGCCCCTCAACTTTATATTTGGTGTCTTCGTGATCACTAAATTTGATTTTATTTCATTATGACCACTCAATTTTATATTTAGGGTCATCGTTGCCACCCAATTTGATTTTATTTTATCATGATCATCCAATTTCATATAAAGTTTCATTATGATCACCAAATTTCATATAATATTTCACAGTGACCATCCATTTTTTTTTTTTAAATAAAAACTTATTCGAAAAATATTACTTAGAAAAATAAAATAAAATAAAAACTTAGTCAAAAAAGGTTTTTAAAATAGAATAAAAACTTATTTTCAAATAACGGTTTTAAAATTTAAAAAAAAAAAACTTTTTTTAAAAAAAATTATCGTTTTACTCATTTTAAAATTAGTGAAAATGATGAAAAGAAATTGGATGGCCATGATGAAATGTAATATGAAATTAGGTGGCCATAATGAAACGTTACATAAAATTTGGTGTCTACATTGAAATAAAATCAAATTGAGTGGTTATTATGATATAAAATTGGATGGTCATGGTGAAACAAAATTAAGAAGGGGGATTAAAATTTGATTTTTGATAGATTGTGATAGAAGTTTTTAAAATGTGTGGTTGAAAAGTTGTGAGATTCATGAAAAATATGGTTAATATTGATTGTTTAACTTTGATTTACATTAAAATCAGATTTTAATTCGAACCAAACATGGGCTAAAATGGATGACTATGAAGACACTGAATATAAAGAACCAAACATGGGCTAAAATGGATGACTATGAAGACACTGAATATAAAATTTTATGACTAACCAATGAAAAATTGAGGATTATTGAAAGGGGATCAAAAAAGGGGTAAATGAAAGGAAGAGATTAATGTCAGAATGGAGTAAATGGGGATAGTCATCAATGAATTTGCTAATTGGGAATTGCTATTACCCTTTAAGTGTATGGAAGGCCTCGAACTTTTGTTAATTTTCGCACTTATCACTTTTTTTCTTCATATTTTTATCATTAACTTTTCAATTTTCTTTAATTAAAATATTTTATCTTCAAATCACATTGTTTTAAAAAAAAGGTCAAACTTTTTTTTTTTCTAAAATAAATATTTAATTGAACTCATATCTTTTTTTTTTTCCTTTTCATATTTTCACTATACATTTCGTGGACCCACTAATTTTATCAACTGTTAACACTATCAGCATAAGCTAAGTCGGAACTTAAAAATATTTTTTTGCTAAGACATTTTGTTAATTTGTTGCTATATTTCAATGTTCGATGAATTAATTATCTCACTTAAATCATAACATTTTTTTATCTCGATTCAAGCTAACATACTAAATTAATAATTTCGTTAAATATATAAAATAATAATTTTATTCAAAATTCTTTGAGTCCAAATGAAAATATAAAATAATAATTGATTATATATGTAAATCACATCTACCGTTTTTATATATACATCCAGTTTTGAGAAGATAATTATATTATATATTTAATCTTATGTAAATTTATCTAAATAGACATATATAAAATAAATAAATAAAATATATCGCTCTAAATTCATCCATTAATATTTATTTTTGTTACGGGTTAGTACATGTAAGCGACCCGTGGCGTCACATTTTGGGGGTGGGCCCAGCTTGATTAAATCAGGACATGTCGTTCTAGTATCAGACGTGGGTTCTGAGGCCCTCACTATTGTTCCNTTGGCTGAAAATTCGTACCGGAGTTTGGCTGCATTACCCCAACGCCACGGCCGCCGCCTCCACCCATACCTGGCGGCGGGTGTCTCGCCCTCGAATACATCACAAAATTCTCAACCCAGAAGTTAGACAAGAACAAAAAATACACCCAATCTGTAAAACTGAAGTTTGGCTCAAAAAGAGAGACTGAAAGTGCTAGATTTTCGAATTAGAAATGTCCTCAATGAAAAGAAAAATGGGTGAAATTCACCAATAGCCCCTCAACTTTATATTTGGTCGTGATCACCAAATTTTATTTTATTTCATTATGACCACTCAATTTTATATTTAGGGTCATTGTTGCCACCCAATTTTATTTTATTTTACCATGATCATCCAATTTCATATAACGTTTCATTATGATCACCAAATTTCATATAACATTTCACCGTGACCATCCTTTTTTTTTTTACCATTTTCATTAATTTTAAAATGAGTAAAACGGTGTATATATATTATTTTTTAAAAATAAAATAAAACAAAACAAAAACTTATTTAAAAAAACGTTTTTAAAATAGAATAAAACTTATTTTAAAATAACGGTTTTAAAATTTAAAAAAAAAACTTTTTTAATTTATTATATATATAATACAAAGTTACCGTTTTACCCATTTTAAAATTAGTGAAAATGATGAAAAGAAATTGGATGGCCATGATGAAATGTTATATGAAACTAGGTGGCCATAATGAAACGTTACATAAAATTTGGTGTCTACGGTGAAATAAAATCAAATTGAGTGGTTATTATGATACTAAGAGCCTGTTTGTTTTCGATTAAAATCCAATTGAAAATTGAAAATATGACCGTTATTGGGTTCCACCTAAATATAAAATTGGATGGTCATGGTGAAACAAAATTAAGAGGGTGTTTGATGGGGATTAAAATTTGATTTTTGGTAGATTGCGATAGAAATTTTTAAAATGTGTGGTTGAAAAGTTGTGAGACCCATGAAAGATATGGTTAATATTGATTGTTTAACTTTGATTTAGGTTAAAATTAGATTTTAATCCGGACCAAAGATGGGCTAAATTGGATGACTATGAAGACACTGAATATAAAGTTGGATGACTAACCAATGAAAAATTGAGGATTATTGAAAGGGGATCAAAAGGGGTAAATGAGAGGAAGAGATTAATGTCAGAAAAATTAGTAAATGGGAACTGCTATTACCCTTTAAATGTATTGAAGGCCTCGAACTTTTGTTAATTTTCGCACTAATCACTTTTTTTCTTCATATTTTTATCATTAACTTTTCAATTTTCTTTAATTAAAATATTTTATCTTCAAATCACATTGTTTTAAAAAAAGGGCCAAACTTTTTTTTTTCTAAAATAAATATTTAATTGAACTCATATCTTTTTTTTTTCCTTTTCATATTTTCACTATACATTTCTTGGACCCACTAATTTTATCAACTGTTAACGTATTCGCATAAGCTAAGTCGGAACTGAAAAATATTTTTTTGCTAAGGCATTTTGTTAATTTGTTGCTATATTTCAATGTTCGATGAATTAATTATCTCACTTAAATCATAACATTTTTTTTATCTTGATTCAAGCTAACATACTAAATTAATAATTTCGTTAAATATATAAAATAATAATTTTATTCAAAATTCCTTTGAGTACAAATGAAAATATAAAATAATAATTGATTATATATGTAAATCACATCTACCATTTTTATACATACATCCATTTTTGAAAAGATAATTATATTATATATTTAATCTTATGTAAATTTATCTAAATAGACATATATAAAATTAGAAAAAGAAATATCAGTCTAAATTCATCCATTAATATTTATTTTCATTAAATTCTCTTGGATCGTTTTACATTCTTTTAGAATTTGTATTTAATAGAACCCTAATAGTTACAAAATATCAACTTCAACTAAAATCAAAACTAAAAGCATTTGGATCGAAACTAAAAGCAGGAAGCTCTTAGAGATGTATTTATTACTTTAAATACAATTCGTACAATCTTTGAACTGATGTGTATTGGAATTACGAATGAGAATACCTTATCGATGTTATATGTAATTGGATGAATATAGTGATTGTTTTCAAAAAAAAAATGAAATTGTATTAGGGATGTATTTAGGGTGTGATAAATATATAAAATTTGCGTGGATCTATAGTATTTAAATGAATGAATTTAATAAGGACAATACGAGAATGTGACATGGATGAAAATAGTAATTTTTTAAAATTTTAATATTTTAATTGGGATAGATATAGAGTAGAATTAATATATATAACAATCATTAATATAAATACTGGTCCCAAAATTAATCAAAAGGAAAATATATATATTTTTGATGGATATGCAGAGTATGTTAGTCGAAGGTGTTAGTAATTTTTAAAGTGACCAGTCAAATTTATTCGACATTGTCAACTTTTAAATTTTGTGATTAGGATCCAATTAAAATATAATTTTATTTCCTTTATAAATAAATTTAAAATATTTTATATTTTTGTGTTAGATTATATGACATTTTAAAACCTTTCAAGTTAAATAAACCAATAAAATAAAAGAAATTACTATTAAGAATATTAGAATAATTAAGCTAATATTAAGATGAGGAAATGACGTATTATGCCTAGGTTTATCGTAGGTACACTTGGACTCTTAAGACTTGAAGTCCGATTTTTAGTGTCTTGCCACACCTTATTACACTTTTTGGAGCTTTGCATCGAACTTCACCATCTTCATCAACAAATCAAAACTCACTCCAATCACTTTGACTTGAGCCATTTAATTTTCATTGTCTTTAGGCTCTCTTGAATCAACATTGGCAAATATTTTAATAGAATTACTTAATTCTTTTGTTCACCCTAAAA